CATAATTATAAATTCAAATTTTTAATTGTAAGTAAAACATTTAAATTTTAAATATAATTCTCAGTTTGCAGTTAGAATTTTTGTTTTATAATTGTTTGAATCAATATTTATAATTTATTTTTTATAAAATTTTGTTAGGATTTAATTGCATAAATTTACAATTTTAAGACTTTATTGTCATTATTAAGATGATTCTGATAGTTATATTATATAAATATAGGAATGAGTGTTTTGCAAAGTGTTCAAATGATTTGAGGTTTTATTCTTAATATGTGATCTTAGTAATGGGGTGATTAATTGTGTATAAATTGTAGATTCTTGACCATATTTTTCTTCCTTTGAACCATCAAAGCATTTGTGATTAGACAAAGAATGCTGTATTGCACGAATGCCAATCTTTATCTTTCTTTAGCTTTTAAGTTTTACCCATCTTTTTCAACCTTCGCATCACTGATGTCTCATGACTTTTTTATAAGAAATTTTTCGGTTGTATTAAAAAAAGAAGAAGAAGAAGAAGTTTTTTGGAGGATTCTCGTGATCCTATTTATAAAAAAACATCAAATATTTATTAATAAAATCAATTATTAAAACCCACCATTTTAATTATTAAATGAAAACATTGTGGTAAATAAATTTGCATTTGCATTTGCCACATATTTATTGAATCATACGAACTTTAACTGCATTCCTCCTTAATCCATGAGAATTAATTATTCGTTTTTCATAAAAACAAAACCAGGAAGTACTTTCTCTTATCTTTAATATAAGGCAAAATTAACTAATTTTACACTTATTAAGAAATAATAATTACATCCTTGAAATTGTTAAAAAAACATATAACTTTGTAATTTTACCCTTCTTTATAATTAACTAATTAATAACTATATTAAATTATTGTTTAGGAATTCAAATCACAATAAATAAATAAGGGGTAAAATTAAAAAAAACATTTAACTACTTTAATTTTGCCTTATATTAAGGATTAAAAAAGCTTTTAACGTTTGTCTTCTATTAATGACGAAAGGCAGTAGTATCATTTAAGAACTTACTCTCTTGATCCTGTTTATAAGCTAGGGAGAATAAAAATTTTTTAGTCACACTTTTGTGGTGTGCCACTAATTTTTTATCACAATTTTTTTTTTACTTTCATTAAACGTTAGGGAGAGAAAATACATCGGTGAGATATGTATATGTAATACTCCTTTTGATTATATTTATAAATCATTTCTAGCATGTTTTATTAAAATTAAAGAAAATCTTAAATTTTATTAACTTTATCTTAAAATTTAATAATTTTCACTTTTATCCTTAACTAATATTCTTAAATCTCATTATTATATTTTTATTCAAAGCATTTAATAAGGGTAAAAATGTAAAAAGAATTATTAAAAATTATTAAGTGCTTTATAAATAGGATTAAATTTTTTCTTTCTTTTTTGCCCTATAAACAAGATCACAGGAGTAAAGATAAAAGTTAGCGACTTATTAAATTTTTTAAAAAATTAATATGTTTTAATATGTTTTTAATTTTAAAAATATATTAAAAATGATTTATGAATATAATAGGAGGGAATATAAAAGAAAAAAAAATAAAACAAAAGAAAACTCCAAATGGTGTCACCTTTTCTTGACTAGGGGATAACTTAAACGAAGAGTTTAAGAGAGAAGGAGCCCACATTGTATTAAATGAAAGAAGTGGTTGGACTTTGGGACGAGAGCAAGTCATGTGGCGCAGATTTAGGAGAAATGGACTCCAGCAACCTAATAAGCTACAAGTCCTGGCTGTCATTAGCTTTCATCTATGAATGAACTTCAATCTCACATTGCTTCAATCTTCAAATATCACAAAGACTATCTCAAGAGCGGGACACACTTGTTTCTGTCTATTTTAGAAACTGTCTCTGTGTTCCATCTCATCAAATCAAACCCTTTTCATCCTTTCTGCTTCCAACCAACCAAGAGCTTCACCACGTGGGTTTATCACATTTCACTATAACCTTTGCTAGAACTAATAAATTGAGTTAAAGGGACATTTGGTGCTTATTATAGTTTTAAATATTTAAACTCATAACATCAACTTTTCTAGGTATAATTTAATTCATGTATTAACTCCCAATGACTCAATCTTATAATTTTAATGGGTTCAAAGGAAATTTTACTCTTAAATTATAAATTCAAAAGCATATAAGATTTTAAATTTATTTTTAATACAATATTCCTCTTCAACTTTTAAAAATAGTATAATATTTACTCTCACAATTAACATAAGTTAACTTTAACATTTAATGAATTAAAAAAATTACAAAAATAATTTAAAAAATTAGAGAAGATGACTCAAAAATTGAATAAGAATATGTAATTTTGAGGTCATTTTATATAATTTTTTTATCAACTACTGACTAAAATTAATATTTATTAATGATAGAGGTAATTTTATATCATTTTTAAAAGTTGAAAGAGAACATAATACCAAAAGCGAGTTTAGAGTTTTAGATGATCTTAAAAATTTTTCATTTGAATTTAATTTTAATTATTTAAAACATTGCTCCCTAATGTTCAAAAAAATAACTTTAGTCCTTCGTGTTTTATTTTATGAAATGTATAATCAATATTTTAAATAGTTAAATTATAAGAATTGAACTGTAATACTAATTTAAAATTTAAGAAATGAGTGTTAAATCAAGTTATGTGTGGGGATCAAATTATTGATTTTTTTGGTGATTTTTATTTTTTTTAATTTACTTCTTTGCCTGTTACAAAAAAGCTGATTTCATGGGTTAGGATGTAGATGCAATTTATACCAGGACAGATCCAGTGTTTTGCATTTTTTTTTTTTGGTTGGATTGCAAATTACATAAAATGTGAGGGACTAGGATTAATTTTAACATTCTTTGAAAAAAAAAATTTAAACAAAGTTTAGGATCAGTTGGAAGCGATTAAATATTCCAGGATTACCTATATATATTAGGTTTGTCTTTTTATCACATAGTTTAACTTCCCTTAAAGTTATATACCTTTAATTCATTTTTCAATTAATCAATACAAGACTTTTTAATATATTCTAATATAGGAAACATGCACCCTGATTGATTCATCTCGGCTCATAAGGGTATGGATTTCAATAATATTGTCAATGTGAAGACCCTATACTTGTTGATTAATATTTTATAAATACATCTATAAGTTTTTAAATCATGAGGTTTGCTTAAGTTTTGGTGAGTTTATGAATATTATTCCCCTAAGTTTTTTGTCTCACATAAATAAAAGTGAAGTTATTTTTTGGGCTAAAAAAGTGAACTTATTTTTTAGCGTTCATTTAGGATGAGTTAAACGTTTGTTATTTATTTTAATTACAGCCAATGGATGGAGAAATGTCATTTTCTTGTTGATAAGTGAAACCAATTTAGAATAGTACTTTTTGCCATATTAACATTGAGCTTGAAAATCCCACAGAACAATTATTATGTCCATTGGAAGTTAGCTAGAGAATGAAATCAGTAAACAAAAATTAATCATCACTTTCGATTTTGTCCATCAGGGACTTTACTTTACTGTCTGAACTTCCCATGTGCATTTTAGTTGAGATCAACCCATCAAGTGTTATTTGGACAGCCTACTTAATGAAAGATTCTCAACCTAAGATTTCACTTTTCATAACTATATGGACAAGTGAAAGGACAAATAGGTACATAGGCATAGGCATAGATTTCCAATTTGTCTGCTATCTATGGGAAGTGTCCTTGTTACTTGGTGGTAAATGCTAGGGCGTGAGAAGCCTTCTCTACCTCCACGGAAAAAAATTTCAACGATCCATATTAAATATTTTAAGTTTTTATTTTAAATTTATATTTAAAAAAAATATATAAAATTTTTAATAAATATATTTATTAATTTGATAGTCCAAATTTAATATAGATAGTTTAAATATAATATTAAAATTTTTTTAATAAGTTTACTGCTCTGTTTATATATATGCACTATCTAGAATATATCTAAAAAGTTAATTTAAATTTTTAATATTAAATTTAGACCATTCATATTATATCTGGAGTGTCAGATTAGTAAGTATATTTATTAAAATAATTTATATTTTTTATTTCAAAAATATAAATTTAAAATAAATATTAAAAATATTTAACTTAGACGGTTTAAATTTTTCTCTGGCTCAGTAAAGTGAAGCTGAATTCGTAAACTCTAGCCTTTTACTCCTTTGCACAATAATATAATATATATTCTAGAAATCTTGTTTTCTTTAAAATATAAAGTATTATATAATTTTTATAATAATTTTTTCAGTTATATCCTTAATTAAATTTAATTTTTATAAAAAAAAGTTTAGGTGAGTTGGTCCTGAGGGCTCACTAGGACTAGAGTATGTCTTCAGATTCAAATAATGCTTACAGAAATACTTATAGATCATCTACCAATAAGATTCTTATATCAACAACAGAATTTGATCTCACAATCTTATGAGTTACTTCTTTCAGTCCTATTTATAAAGCGCCTTTTAAAAGATTTATTTAGTCTCATTTATAAGTCATAGTGCAGCTTTTTAGGTAATATTTAAAAAATATTTTTAAAATTACCCTTGATGTGAGAGAAAAAGTAGATAACATTACTTTTTAAATTAATTATATAAGGGCATATTTAGAATTTTATACACTTTTATTCCTTTTACCTCTTTTGTATTAATATTGATAAGGTTAGTAAAAATGATTTATAAAGAAAAATGAAAGAGTATAAGCTAACTTCTTATCAATTGGACCAACTTTTGTTGGTACCCTTCATTTATTATTCTTTTTTTAAAAAATGACGCATTTGAATTTCAATTGTCATAATTAAAATGCTTATATAGAATATTTAATGAGGATATGATTAAAAAAATGTAAATTTTTTCAAAACATTAATGCTTCACCTTTTTTTTTTTTTAAGAATCATGAAGTAGCTACCAATATCTTATATTATGGTCTGAAGGGAGTAACCAATGATGCATTAAAATATGTAGAACATTTTGGCACGCTGTTATTTTTGTATTAATAGTAATAAAACTTTGAATATCTAAGTAACATTCAAAATGTCTGTATTCAAGACATTGATAACTCAAATACACAATGAAGAAACATCAGGAAACACACAGAAAATTTAGGTTGTATTCTTTCTTGCAATCCTCAACCTCTTCACGCTTTCTACAAACTCTCTGTGTCAAAATGACAGAAAAAACAAGGGATTGAAAAGAAAATAAAGTTAGATAATAGAGTTCGAAGTAGTAAATAGTTTCAGAACAGAATGCAGAACATGGTAACACAAACAGGACACCGAGGAAAAGGAAACCTACTTCCATGGGACATCACCTACTGTTCTCCAATGATCTTCTCTGTCTTTGTAGAACAGTAAATACTCTGACTCAGATTGGAACAGTTTCAAACCAGAAACAGATTTGCTTCCTGAACGTGAGTGGCACAAGAAATTAAAAACAAAAGAATATTAGTAAAGATCAAGAGTAGATACAAACCTTCTAGAAAATTCTTAAGAATTTCTGTGACTACTTCCCAGAAGAGAATTAGTTGCCATCATGCTTACCAAACATGTTTTCTAACTGGTTTGCAAGACTTGGATATCCTTCATGATCAAGAACACAAATTTTTCTGCCTACTGTAACACCATCCATGATAACTTTCACATAAGCCCACCTATCATTGCTCTGAACACCTTCTATTTCCTCATCAAAGTTCTCTGGGACGGATTTTGAATGCATTGTGCTTGAGCTCTTGAGGTTGAGATTATTAGACTCAGGCCAATCCATGAGGTCATCATATCTCCACAAGCTTAAAACTGAACTCACAGCACAGTTAAATTAGTTTCAAACACCAACGACTACTAGAAAATTTAAGAGTTACATAAGCCTGAATCATTATCATAGAATAGAACTGAAGTTGAACAAGGGACTGTTAAATGCATACAGTTGCTAGAAGAATGATAAGCTTCAGGCTGGACAGTTCTGAGGCTAAGTCCCAGGTCAATCATGCCATCCTCATCATTATCATCTTTGCCTTGGTAGAAATCTGGGTGAAAAGTTGAAGAATTCAGAACAAAGCTTGAAGTGTTTGAATCCATGGAGATACTGTACTCCTAAATTGTAACTTCTAAGCTTGAAAATTTCTGACTCTGTCAGTGATGAAGGTCTATTGAGTTGAATTCATGAATCATGCAATCATCTATTTATAGGGTCAATTTTGATTATATATATATAACTAAAAATGTAGAGAGAGAGAGAGAGAGAGAGAGAGAGAGAGAGGCACATGGAAGACAGTGAAACCTTCCCCCATTATCAATCATTGAGTGCACAAAGCTTATCTTCTGGTACTGTCAACATGGAACAGAAGGTAGAAACAAAACACCTCAACAACATGGAATAATGGCCATGTTGATCCTAACAAAAATTGTTCTGGATCTTGTTTCCTCACTTCACTACAAATCCTTAGACTCTTGTGCTAATATTCCAAGGTATACTTGAGGGCATGCAAGCTGTGTTTTCCACATTAATACTAGCTTAGAAAAATTTTGACAGAAATATCTTCACTTCAATCACATATCAGTGGTTAAGAATGAAGGGATGATCAGGGCTAAGAATCAGTTTAGAATCATTATTCTGATGTTTTTAAGACGTGAAATCCTCAAGTGTTTGTGGGATTTCAGTGGATTATGTGTTCAAAAAAGCAAACACTATCAGAAAATAATTTAAGGGAAGGTATATAGATATAGGGACAGGTCTTTTCTGTGACAATCAGATGACAGGAATGCTACTTTTCAAGGGAACAAAGGCCTGGTCTGATCCCCACAACCCATTCCACAAATGCAAGAAAGGATATTTTTACTGGTTAAAGTTCAGATTCATTCTTGTAATTTCTTGTTCTTGATTAAGACATTATGACTAAGATAATAGATACTGTGTTTATCTGAGAATCTGAGGTTTTCAAAGTTCTTTACGTATCTCCTGTATATTTTGCAGGGTATATGGAGCTTTCTTTTTGGGCCTGAGGTAATTTTTTTTTAATTATCAATAATGATGAAAATTACTCTTCTGTTACTATTTACTCCCTCGAGTCCTATTTCTTAGTCACATTTTAAAGGATCATGGTCTTTAATATTTCCTTTGATGTGCAATTTTAAAAATATGTTATTGTATTTTTTTATAAAAAGTGCAACCTTTTGATGTCTAAGAAAATTTTTCCACATATCATTATATCAAATTACTCTTATTTAAATTTAGAGGTAAAATGAAAAGTAATTTAATTTTAAGATAATTTTATTATTCTAACTATTTCATTAAAATCAAAGAAATCTAATTAAATTATTGATGTTTGGAAAATGAAGACTTTTTTTTAATTTACCTTTATTGAATGCATCATTTCTAAAAATACTTTCTCTTTCATATGTAACACTTTACTCTATTTATAGAAACTTGTTAAACGGTAAAAAGTAAAAGAAAGTAATTAATAATAATTTTTTTTATTTAAAGTGACTTACAAAAATGACTATTAACTTTTTTTAAAAAAAAAAGTTATTTATGTATAGGACCCAAGATAGTATAGATTTTTTAAAAGATATAAAATCTTATCTGGAGTGACATTCAAACAAAGGAATTTTGTCAACTTGGGATGATGTAATTTGAAGTGAACATACTACAACAAATACTCAGTCTCTATCAACTTTTTAAGGTGAGAAAACATACAGATACTTTTTTCCGGTAGATATTTTAATTCTGGTCCGAATTCTTTCTTAAAAGAAACAGAATTGAATGATTTGTCAAGCGAGTCCGATTAATGCATGGCAGCAAGGGACATTGGATAATAATAAATCAAAGAATGTAAGAAGATTTTTTTTTTTCAAGTGATGATCTCATAAATTCAAATATGATGCTGTAATTATTATATATAACCTAATATTTCGCTTATTTTATTAATTTTACTATATTTATTGCCACAATCATCATACGTTTACATAAAAGTCAAACCATTTTTTAAAAAATATAATTGATAAGTATAGTAATGGGAGGATGGCATTTTTTTTTTCTTCCAAAAATGACAATTAAATTGGTAGAAGAAACGCGGCCTTGCATCAAAATCAAAATAACTAAGAAAAGCCATTTCCCTTAGAAATCATGTTGTCAATAATGAAATAACCCTGCTCTTTATAGATCAAGACTAATTATCTCTTCTTTTTTCCTTATGAAATACTTTTGTTGTTTACTTTTTTAAAAAAATTATACGGATAAATATGTCTATTTTTTATTCATTATTTCCAATGAGGCTCTTTCTTTTTCTTTGCCATTGCAAGTCTTTTCATTTACCTTTTATCATTCCGTTCTTATCACCGCTAAACACGCACCAAGTGTTTTCTTGTTACCCACATGTATTTTTTTTTATTAAAAGTAATTTTGTTCAAGATATTATTTAATATTAAATGGAGGCATTTGTTTTAATAAGAATTTAAACTTAGTTTTTATTTTGGAGAAAATTCAAAAACAGATTTATAATAAAGAAAACCTCCTTTTTTAAAATACTGAAAATTTAACATTTTAAATTTTAATCCTTGGATTATTAAGGAATTAATCAAGTTTGATTATGAAAATTGAGTGATTTGATGTAATGTATAGCTTGAGAGGTTTAATATATGTAATTGGTTGTGATTTCAATTCTAATTATGAGTTTGAAGTGAAGTTGTGCCACTCAAACATTGAAAGGAGGAAAAAAACATAAAGAAAGTGTTTCTGTACCACATACCGTAGCATGCAACATGTCTGTCGCAGCACATAAATGACCACTGAAGCAAGAGGGCTACTTTATATCATGTGCCATAATGCATGCTGTGTGCGTCATGATGCACGGCCAAAATTTCTAATAAATTGATCACGAACTGAAACAAAAAAAGAAAAGAAAAAGAAGAGGGAAATAGAAGAGCTCGTCCTTGCCTTGCTAGAGTTTGCCATATTAATGGTTTAGGTGTACTTTGTGGTTAAAAAACACTTAAGGTAAGTGTCTTACATCCTAATCTTCCATTTTCTTCTACTTTCTTGAAGTTTTTGGTTAGAGTTTGGTAATGAGAGATGATTTTCGATCTATATAGGTTATGGGTCCGAACCTATTGACTCAAATGAAGTTTATGAGAATTGTTTAGATTATTTAAACCTAGAGATTATGGATTTTGATACTTTTAGTTGGTGAATGTCATTGATGTTTGAAATTAGACATTTAATTCGAAATTATGGAGGTGGTTGAGGTATTAATGGTAATGTGGATACTTAATGAAGTTGAATAATGCTAATGAGAGCCATTAAACCCAATAGGTAAGCTCTAAAGCGAGAAATAAGGATGTTGGGTATTGTAAAAGTGAAAGTGTGAGAGTCGAAATTGTGTTTTTGACAATGTTGATAAATTTAGAATTAATTAATTATAGATTGAGCATTTGGACACCATTTTGACTTGGGAAATCAAGCTTAGAAGCTAATTATTGAGGGGTAAATCTATGACCTCTCAAAAATTTAAAATAATTGAGAAAACTCTACTTTAGGTAATTGTTTATTAATTGTATGATAATGCAAAAATGGATTTGTGTGTATGTGAAAAATTGATTTTGTTGATGTGATAACATACTATGCATCATGTGTTAGTACATTCGCTTTGATACTGAACTAAAATGCGAAGATAAATTTGAAATGCATTTCAAACCACAATTTGTATTAAACTATGAAATTAATGATTGTTATGAAGATTTTGATTGATGATCAAATGGAATATAAATGATTGTGTTGAGTTTGAAAGTAGTGAATATCTGTGATATATGCAAAAATGAGATTTGATGCTCATTTAGGTAGCATAGTCATAAGCCCAATGTGTTGATTTTGAAAATAATATTGTAAAAAATGAGTGGGCATCATACATGACATGATCAATTGGCGAAAGTAAGCCTAATGAGAGTAGTTAAAATCTATATGGCATTTTTGACTACCTTTCAATGCACGAGGGTATATCTTTATTCTATAGTTTATCGAGAGACTAAAACTTACCTATCTCCACTAGTGTATCAAGAAGGTTAGTTTAAGGCATACAACACCACAAGGATTCGAGAGTGAGGGAAGCCATGACCTAAGAGTAAGTCTTGTGATTTTTGGCCGGTCACATCTCACAATTGGTGAGCTTGGGTAGTCTAGTCACACGAACTAAACCTTATTTGATGTTATAGCCCACGATTTCAATTGAAAAATATAAGGATGGTTTAATCATGCATAAGTGATTATATGACGTGTCACATTGTTGTTTAAGTTTGTGGCAAGTTGAAATAATAAATTGCGTTATTATCACATATTTGTATGTCTTGTGGCAATGTACCTTGTGATTGAGATGAGATTGAGTTAATTGAAAAATAATCATTTGTGTTACATGTGTTAGTGTGGATTTTGAGAAAATCAACTTCAATCTTATATGTTTATTCAATTGATATGCAACTGTATAGGGTAGGCTTATCTTGGTTACTAAGTGACTAGACTCACATCTCTTCTTTAATATTTTATAGGCTTTAACTTTAATACTGAAAGGGAAAAGGCTTTGGAGGCTTAGGAATCTAAGTATTCCTATTGTATGCCTCTTTAATTCATTTATTTTGTGTAATAGGGTGAATATTGCCAATTAAAATGTATTTTTGTTTACACTTGTATCATATAGTTGTCTGTGATGTATGAAATGTATTTTGGACCCTAAAATGTTGTTTATGATGAGTTGTAAATGTGGATAGGGCCAAAATACTAATATAAGTGTAGTAAGGTTGTTTTAAACATATTATAAATGATTTTTAATGAAATGCAATGCTAGAACCTCCCTATTCTATTTTTAGTATTAACGGGGTTGCGGAATAAAATTTTGATATAGTGGTGTATTTGTGCATATGGTGTGTTGTACCGTCAGTCCTTAGTCCAATGAATATGCTTTGGGTGTTAAAAATGGTGTTTGGTACTTGTATAGGGTTTGGACACCTTTTATTGTGAAAGTTTATAATAAAATGTGAAAATGTGTTTGGGTGTTCAAGTTCTTGATGTGACTTGATTTGAAAGTGAAACTCATATCATTAGCTAGTATATGAAAAAAAAATTTTATAAACACCTAAATTATCTTATTTGGACGTTGGATAAAGAAATGGGGCATGCCGAAAGTTGCCTAGATCTGCTGTTAAGAACATGTAACACACTGCAACGCGTCACATTATTCTATTTTTAGCAACTTGAGATTTTTCAACTATTTTCAACTCCTTTGATGTATCTCATGCTTTTGTAACATGATTTTACATTGATTAATGATTTAATGAATGAGTTTGATTCATTTTTTAATTATGAAAACTTAGGATTCCATTATTTTAAATTATAAACTTGATAATTTTTGTATGGGTTAATCCTTTGAGTATCATAGATTATAGTTTTTTTTTATTGAGATTAGTAAGGAAGGATATTTCAGAAAGACCTTTTTTCTTTGGTTTAAATGCATTTTTCAGGAATATTTTTTTGTTTTAAAACTTCCAGCAGTGAAAAATATATGATCATAAAAAGTAAAAACTCCAAGGTCAA